TCAACCCCTTGCAAGATAGGTTGGACGGTTGGAAGACACACAAACAAACAATTGTTCAAGACAACCAAATCACTGCACCTTTGCAAAAAACATCTACTGCAAAAACAACAGCCTTCAAATGCAGACAGAGACCTGCAAGTGTGGTGCAAATCAAACGACGGATGTCAATTGCTCCGCTCACACCACTGTCATTTGAGAATGCAGTCTCACGTAGAGTCTTCTGACATATCCTCTTTGTGGATAGAGCTCGCAAAGAGTCTGGATCAATGTCAGCAGAAGTGTGCAACGGTTTGTTTTCGTGTTTGTGTTAGTTTATTCCACCAAATCGAAATCTGAAAAACATACAGTACTGCCACCGGCATGGTGTGGGTGACAGCATCGGAGTTTCTATGAAGCTAACTGCCATACGCAAGACTGCTTAACGGCACCTTTAACTTGGTATTAGTGATTAGTGTGTGTCTGCGGAGTCAATATAGTAGTGAGCTGTGTTCAGGGACATCATAAAGTTAGGGTTAAACTTTAAACTGCTTCGCGCAATCACGGGGATTCTCAACAGGTCCAATTTGTTCCGCCTGCTGCACAAATATACCCTCAGGTACCAAGAACGAAATGTGGCAGGGATCCACCTGCATGCTGCTTGTTGTCAGCAGTTTTGATGTAATGCTCCAAGGTAAGATCTAAGGAGATGCCTGTGAGAGGAGGGGAACGCTCCAGCAACACGGCTTCTGTGCCTGCATGTCTGGTGATTCCCAGCTGAATTAGATGGTGACACAGTGAGACTGGAAGACCGGTCTTTGTCTTGTACAGAATCGCAATATAATATACTCATCATTTGCCGCTAGGCTCCGGAGACGAGTAGTGAAATCTTGCATAGTGTTGGATAGGTTCACAGGGTTTCATACGGTTTCATCTTGCTTTAAACACAGAGATTCGACAAAGAATGCACATGATGTATCATAATGTACACAGCTGCATGCCGGGTCATTGGCTGCCTGGAGAGCTTCCTGAGCGACGTCAGGTCTGTGCTGGAATTCGTTCCTTCATCACTCGAAGAACTTGACTTCTTTGTCCACATAGAACTGTTCCTCTTTCGTAACTTACCGATGACTTCTAGGTTGGAGGCCATAACGGTTAGTCACTTAGTCCTGTCATGTCCTGTCTCAGGTCCACACCCTGACGGGACCATGTTCAACACCTCGCCAGCTCCTGGAGTTCGTGCGCTCGCGGAGCTTCAGCCGGACTGATCAGCACTTGTTGCGCATTTGATCGGTTTCAATCTTCCGATGCCATCATATGAACTCATATCTCAAGTGTGCCACTGTCCAGTCCAGTGTTCAAGCTCTAAGCCGATGGCTGCATAGCCATGATGCTCCTCTACCACTGGGACCTGAGTTTCATCGGGTGGCAGCTGCGTCACCCGAGGCCTACATCGACGTTCGCTCCCTGTGACCCTAGTAGCGATGCCCTTTGCTTCTAGTAGCTTCTTGTTCCTAGTAGCATCCTTGTTACTACTAGTAAGGCACTTGTTACTAGAAGCGATGCACTTGTTCCTAGTAGCTTCTTGTTCCTAGTAGTACGGCCAGGAGCCCCAAGTAGCGTCCTTGCTCCTAGTAGCGATGCCAGGAGCCCCTAGTAGCTTCTTGCATCATCTTGCATCTGCATGATTTTTATATTTGGAAATGATGTTGCCTGCTTACGGCCGGCCTCTCAACTTGTTACAAACCATCAACTTCATTGTTTGGTCAGTCAAACAGCCATCCTGGGCTCATGCTGCTGTCACCCACACCTGTCCACGAGGAATCAGCCTAGGCAACAGCAAGCCAGTTTTCTTCAACCCGAAATCAACTGAGAGACCACTTTCAACACGCAACCAGGTTACAGAAAATATCAGAAAATGCCCTCGCATCCTTGATTCAGGCCTGGTTTTTTAGAGGCCTGTCACAAGCCAACAATAAAGTTTGAAAATCTGTGTCTGTTATGATAGGTCGCCCAGCATGAGCCCTATCTTCACTTTAGACTGGCCCCTCCTGTCTACTGCACTAGAGTATAGAAGCCGCCGCACTGCTGATAAGGAGCAGCATTTTGAGAATCACTCTGAGCAAACCGGCGGAAAGCTGTACGGAAAGAATTCTTTGCTCCACTTTGAGCTGCTAGCTCCCTTATCGTGGCCGTCCTGCACCAGGATTCTTTCTTTAAACAGGTATCTCAACCTCTTTCGATCTGAACAAAGTCCGAGGATGCTAGCAACATGTGTCAAGAACAACCAACAACAAAGTTGCATTACAGGTGTTGACAGTGCACATCCTTTGCATGGTCACGTGATATCAGCTTACTTAGATGCTGATGCTGAATTTCACAAGACAAGAAAGAGGAAAGCTAATTGCGAAAAGCGTCAGGCAAGGCTGTCCATCATTCAAGAGTCTAATAACGATCTTCCAGATTCCAGGCCTTGAGGATCTTCTTAACGTCATCGGAACTGATTTCAACTCGAGCCTGAACGAAGATTCAGGATGCAGCTTTTCCATTGAAAAAAGAAAGTAACTAATTAGTATGTATATATTAGTATGTTGATCGATCGACATCATCACTCTGAGCTGCCTAGATGTTCTTCCCCATGTTGTGGGTTGTCTCCAACATATATCATATGTAAATATATGCAGTACACCTTACTATTTGTAACAAGAAGCTACTGGGGTGGAGGCCATCGCAAGTAGGTTGGAGGCCATCGCTTCTAGTAACAAGAAGCTATCATTCTAAAGAACTCCAAATACACAACGTCTCTGAGTGCCCTGAGTGCCCGAACCAATTCTTGAGCTCCCACGACCTCCGTCACAAGCTCTGTCTCACCATTTGCTCTGCATCTATACAAACTCACTGAAATTTCAGCATATACCTACGAGATGCCGTTCTCCTTGAATATTTGCGGAAGGTTTCCGCTTCCATCCGCTTCCTATCTTGACCATGTGCCCCCGCCCTAAATAACGGTCAAGTCAAAAGAGCTTCTGTTACTTTCATGCTGCGGCTGACCAGCGACTCAACATGCCCCTTAACATCGACCAAGCGCAGCTCTTGACTCGTTGCACTGCTCCGCTTAAATAGAACATTTTGAAATTCAATCCATGTCGCTTTCATGCCCTCCACATCTTGGAATCTATTTCATGAGCCGAGTCTTCTGGTGTTGTTCAACGAAGGTTGATCTTGAATCTGTTGGGACTTTTTTAATGAGGCAACGAGACAACTCGTGTGTCAGTGGTCCATGTACAATGTGAAAGAACTCGGGATGTGAGACATCCTACAGCAGAAATGAACAAGTGACTCATTTTTTCCGGATGGCACCTTCTGATTCTGGACAAAAAGGAAGAGTTTTTCCTCATCGTCGTCCTCTCAATGCAGGTTAAACAATCAACAGCGGATTGGTGGTTGGATTAGTTGAACCAATCTATATAACCTAACTCTGACCCACAAAAATATCGCATGGACTACTTCAAGGACTGAATTACAAACAGAACTGCAACGTGCGCAATCTGACCTTCCGGAACTGTTCTTGACAAGATTGGAGTCGCAGACTGGAAGCCGCTGAAAGTACGCAGGGCCACGCCGCGATTGGAGTCGACGACGGAAGGCTGCAAACGTTGCATCGCTCATTGATCTTCGTTCTTCTCATCACATTTATCCATATCTATCCTAGTGTTGCTCTTACATGGTCGCTGGGTGAAAGAAACACCTATATATTATATACACTAAACTTCATTTCTGGCTTACCTGTGCAGCTTGTTTCAGACGCAATACTAGCAGTGCAACTCTAAAGTCCGTAAGCAGCGTACAACCTCCAGGATCGCATTGTCAGAATCTGCAGTGTGGGAAAAAGGTGAGCAGCTGTCTTTTTTAGTAACAAGAAGCTACTAGAAACAAGTGCCACGCTAGTAGTAACAAGTGCCTTACTAGTAGTAACAAGAAGCTACTAGGAACAAGTGCATCGCTTCTAGTAACAAGTGCCTTACTAGTAGTAACAAGAAGCTAGTAGTCTTTTTTAGCCCACAGGGGGGGGTAGGCCGCTAGGAGGGAGATGGAGCTAGTAGCGCACCAATGATTCGGTTCCTAGATTTTTAGGAAAACTTATATAACGATTAGGTAGACAATGCAGCATAGGCAGGAAAGAGAACATAGACCAAATAACCAGTAAAGTTCCATGCGAGTCTGGAACACTTTGGCAAATCCATTTCGATTGTCCTCCCTTCCACAAGGATTTCAACCAGGGGGGCTACGTTTATACTCACCAAAGGGATCCAAAGGGTCCATATGATGTGCAAGGACCACATGCCATGGCAAGAAACTGCACATGTGTTGTGCTTTGAAGGGGAGGCCTACAGCAAGTCCACGGACTCTATGGACTGTCTGGAACCAAAGTCATATTCCCTGGTCGCTCCACATTCAGCGTTTTGGCGCTCCACATCGCCGTGTCTGGCCTAACAATTTGTCTGCAGCATATGTACAGCACCATGTGTGGCCAGAATTTCGGTCAGGTGTCCCGAGCTCGCTGCTTTTTGGGGGACACCCACTTAATGCGAGCCATGGAATTGGTGCGTAGAGTACAAAACTGGGACGCCAGTGTGCCAGCTATCAGACTCAGTCGCATTTCAGGAACTTATGCTTGGGCAGGCCCTAGGATCAATCGTAGGGACACTTCTGCAGCTTGTCCTCGTCAGGCAAAAGAGATACAGCGACGGAGGAGGGGATCTCGGAGTGAAATATGCAGCATACAACATGACACAGAAGCACACTCAAGCAATCTGTATCAAACCCAAAATACCACGCCTGTCGAAAACATGATACGCTTGTCTCAGACTGAAGGCTTCAAGCGTGCAAGTAGACTCTTGATTGATGAAACAGCCCCGTTTGCATTGTCAAACCTCGGTTTTAGCCATTAAGAGTCTACATTGGTGACTGCTCAGACAAGCATCGCACCCTGGGATGCGGATCTGACTCGGCCAGCTGCTGTATCTCTGAGCTGCCCGAACTTGCTGCAGCACCACATCTTCCGAGCGCTTCAACAGCTGAGCGCCGCACGCTCCAGGCCTTGAAAGATTCGCGCTCGGAAGGAAGGTGAATTTGGAAGAATTGCAGGGAATGGCACCGAGGTCTGTGGGAACCGACCATAAACGAAAAATAACGAGAAGGGCCTTTTCTTGCCCGGGGGGGTCGGCCGCTAGTAGAGGTAGGTTAGCTACAGGTAGCTAGTAGAAGCTAGGTAGCTACTACCTACAAGTAGCTACTACCGACAGGACGCAGGATAGCTCACGCTTCTTCAAGGACGCACTAATGATTTGGTTCCTAATTTTTTAGGGAAACTCAACTAGTAGCAAGAAGCTACTAGGGGCTCCTGGCCTTACTACTAGGAGCAAGGGCGCTACTAGGGCTCCTGGCCTTACTAACTACTAGGAGCAAGGACGCTACTTGGGGCTCCTGGCATCGCTACTAGGAGCATTCTTACCATTAGTAAACTCAATATTCAAAAGTCTTGCTGCTCCAAGCACAGGTTCTCTGTCAGAAAGACTCCGGATCAATGGTGCTACAAGGTCATTGGCCGGCACAGCAACGAGCCGCACAAGCTTTCCCAAGGTTTGAGCTGAAGCTCCACGCACATCTTCCTCTATGTCATCCAAGGCTTCTCCTCAGCTTTGACAACATGTCAGGCGTCAGACTGTCAGAATCACACTGATCCCGATCCTATGCTGAACCAAGCAACGGAGTTGCACCAGTCCACAGGAGGCCGAAGCGCCCAGATTTCCAAGACCTTCAGCTGCACCCCAGCGAACACCTCCATCGTCATCTCCTAGGAGCCTCACCAGCTCTGGAGCACAACGATCTGTACCTTAGATTTCCGAGTCGCTCCACACAGCTGAATGGAGCAACATGGGTCAAATGTTGTCAATACTTGACGAATCATACACACGAACAGTGTGCATGGTTCCAAAATTGACCCACTTATCGGTCAACCTCATGATGTCCAATACCAAGACATGTGAGAAAAGCAATCACCCGGCGACTCACTCTATCGGACTCCGGGCCAACCCGTTCCAAAAGCCCAGGTTGCCCGCGTGGCCAAGCGCTCTAGCGGCAGAACAGCGCACGTCGTCATCCTCGTCCTGCGCGCAGAGCAGCAGAGCCGCCACCACCTCGTCGCTGCCGCGGCCCCGGCGGCCCAGCTTGTCGGCAGCCTTCCAGCGGTCACGTGGGCGGCTGCTTTGCAGTAGCTCAACCTGAGAGCTGCAAGACATGAATTGCTTCTAGGTTGGAGGGCATTGCTATTAGGTTGGAGGTGGAAAAAGGCATTGGACAAATCTATGAACCTGCAGCTTGGACAGGTACGAGTATGGTCAAGTTGTGTGAGTCGCTGGGAAAAATCTACAGTCCACAGGCCCAAGTTGGCCTTATTCCTGAAAAAGCAGTTGCCATGGTTTACACATGTTTACACCGCTATTTAGAAGGGAGGATGATCACAAAACATCGACAGTCGCCTGGTCTAAAGACTGACACTGTTGGCTCAAACAACTGAAACATACTGAGACTGCAACCAGCTGTGTCACGCTTTCCTCTGGACCATCGAACATGGCTCCGTCGTCTTGAACCGAAGGTGGCAATGCAGCAGGGACCAGGATGGGCCTCCCCTCTCAGAAGGGAAAGCATGTGTACGGGGCGGTGTTGACTAGTGACGTGAGGCATTTTTGGCGTGTTGCGCGCTAAGATGCGTTCAGTGTTAAGTACAAGTTTCTGCTTCCCTCCAGAAAGAGTTGACTCCATCAATTTCAAGCATCCATATTTTCTCCATGGGCTACAAAGAAAACCTGGCAGCGTAACCAGTTCACCCGCGACTGCACTGGCCACAACGCCAACCCACAACTGTCTCTGGGGCGACATGCAGTTTCCCTTAAAGCACACTGCTGGGTGCTTGCCAGGTATCACAAATATGTTCAATCATCCGGGCAAAGTGGTGCCGACTTTGATTCTTGGTATTTGCCAGGCACTGTGGCGGGTCCTGGTCAAAGTTGAGCTGAATGGACTCCTTGAGGAAACAGTCACTGCCGGCATTGTTGTGAACCTGGCGATTCTTGCAAAGCCTCCGGAGTCCACGACGAAGGCTCGTTTCTCTCCCCTTCAGCGTGTGCGCCACACAGCTCGCCCAGCTGCCCCGCCCTGGTGCGCATGGTCTCATTGTAGCCGAGGTAAGCTTCTATGAAGACCTTCCAAAGGCGATTGCTTTTGGCTAGCACAAAAAGAATCAAGCTGATGCCCACGGGAAATACCACTTGGGAGGCCAGGAGAAAGTAAGCATAGGGAGGACATATGCCACAGGCAAGACATAATCCATCCCAAATCTGAACAAGTCGAAATGTGTGCATCCAGAGATATCAAGAGTGAATTGAGGGCTGAACGTTGTTGGCATGGAAAATGTCTGCTGATGGAAGATCTTCCACTTTCCAAATCAGCAACTGGCAGGGCAAGGCGATGTGATACGATTCGAGGCGGTGAAAGCAGCACCGTGGACACTAAGATCAAATTCCTGGGATTCCTCATGGTTGCTCCATGGATTCATCAACGTGTACGTGGCAAGTGCAGACTGCAATCCTGAAACCAAAACCCCTAACAACATCTTCAAATCTTCCATCTAACCCTTGGTCACCCTTGGTCTTGCTTTGCCTCAATGGGTGTGAAGCGAGCTGTGGAGAAGCAGCTGAGGCAGTCCCGCATCTGACCGAACAGCGGAATGCACGCACGGTCAGTTGGTATCACCTGGTCATGTCGCCTGGACCCACCAATGATCACAAAAGTAGATAACAAGATAACAAATTGGGTCTCTCCTAATACCTGGGCCCAGTGGATGATGATGGTTAGGTTCCAGGCCTTGTTCAAAAATAGTAATATATTATATAATTGTTTACTGACTGGTACAGGTAAGCTCGGACAAACCCAATAGATACAAATATGTTCTTTGGACACTCTAGCTTCTTGGCTGCCTACAGATCTTACTTTGGCTCCAAAGATGATTTATTGACAGCTTCTCTTTGGTGGGTTCGAGTCAATGTTGATTGTGAAAATCAATCGCTGCAAAATTGTCCAAATAGTAAACCTCGTGGAAAACACAGCCAGTTTGACAGATATTCAATACTTACCTTCCGCCTTCCGCCATGTTTTAGGTTTGACTGCCGGAACCCAAGCTCAGGGCTTGAGCTAGCACATTTCGAAACTCACGCGTGCGGAAAAAGGAAAAAGAAGGGTCCCATGTTCTCCATAATTCAACGTTCTACCCTTTTCAATGCCCTCGTAATGCTTTCCAATTGCCTTGCAGTTGAAGATCTGCTTGTGGTCCAAGCCCAGCATCAAGGCAATCCTTTCCTTGAATGCCACCTGCGAGGGTTTTGCACAGATGTAAAGCAACACCAACCTTTCTCAATCCAATATCAGCAATATTGGCAGGAACATGCCCGGCCCATCCTAGAATCTAGAAACACTGCTACGCACAGGAATGTTTTACATCATGTTGAGAGACACGATGGAAAAGGAGACTCCAGCACGTGGCTTCAGACTTTTCTACTCTGCTCAGCTGAGGAGAGCAAGTCGCTATGCTTTGACGGTGCTGTTGCCCGCCTCGGAGGAAAGTCAATCATTTGTCCCCGCTTTGGGGCAAAGCAAGGGGTCAGGTTGCCAGACTGGTCTATAAGTGGTTTTTGTTGATGACCCGAAAATTGTCAACATCCACGAGTCCCTCCACTTAGTACTACATTGGGATTGAAAGTGTCCACTCTGTAGGATCTCGAACCAAAAAGGAACAAATTGGAAAATGACCATCCAATTCTGTGCAAGTTGGGCAACGTTCGTTGATTCCACAAGTCAAGCAAATACGTGCAGAACATTTAAGTCTTGACTGTCATGGGGCATCCTACCAACAGTGGAATTAATCCTGAAACAAAACAGCTGTCAAGCTGCAAATGACTCCAACCTGAAGTATTAACCACCAAAAAGAAGCCATGATCCATTGGACTTGATTATGGACATTGAAAAGATTTGTGATTTGCAACATCCTTGCTCAGCATCCTCAACCTGCGCCTGCGCCCACTGAAGACTTCAGGCCACTGCCCCACTTGTATCTCCATTAGATAAATCATCGCAACACTGCTGTGTATGATGGGAGAGATTGCCCCAACCCAATCCGTTCCAGCCCCCTACCCTTCTCACTCTGCTCCCAGGCCCAAAGAAGCCGTAAAACGGCCAAAAGCGCCAGGGCCAGCAAGGCTAGGTCAACACCTAGCGGTAACTTGATCAGAGGGAGATGCCAACTCCATCTGCAAGGGAAACCCAGTTGAGTTTACTGCTTCTTGGAGGTTGGTGAAAGAACATCCGATCTTTAATATCAAAGGCTCTGACAAGTCTCAACGCTATCAACTTTCACAAGCCTGAAGCTGCAGTCGTCGATGGTTCTGGAGCTTCTGTCAAAGACTCCTGTCTTCGAATCTGGACACAAATGTGGCAAGCTGAAGGCCAATCAAGATTAGCCATCTGGAAGGACACTTGTGGAACCTTGTGGGAAGGTGACCCTAGCTCTGAAACACTGCGACCGAGCTAGCTTCTGGAGCCACTGGTTCCAAACGCATCAAGTGTTCATGTCCTGAAGCACAACATCCGACTTGAGAGAGGAGGGGGTGAACGAAAGGTAGCAGGCAATCACAAGTAACCCTGCTAGAAGTCCATGACGGCGTGAACCGGCGCAGGGGGGATTTGATCCAGGGGGGGGCCCCCGACGAACAGAATCAACTCTTACAGGACCAAACTCAATGCACAATCCCAACTCCTGATTGTAATACATTTTTGCTAAAGCAAGGAGAACTCAGGTACCTCAAGCTACCTTTCGTGAAAAGCACACCATGGCAAATTTCTCAGCACGAACTTGCTTTTTCACATGTTCTCAGCCCAAGCTGTGCTCCTCCAACCAAGAACTGAGCTTGTCCTTCATTCTTTTCCTCAAGCACAGGAGCACTGTCATCACTATCATCACTATCATTCAAGGGTAGGACTTCAAGAGAAGATACGAGAAGTGCAGGAAAAAAATGAACAGAACACGGCTGTTCTCTGCATGTTTCCCAATGACAAGGCGATACATGCTACAACCGTTTTCAGCTTGAAGCGTTTGGCCGTTTTAGACCAAGGCTTCACGACTTTTCGGCTTGAGCCAAGGAACGGATGTAGCTGAAGTTGGTGAATCTGTTGGCCACCCTGACAAAACGGTCTTTCCTGGATCTTGCAAATGGTGCTGTTTTGCTTCTCAAATACAGCTACCTGGCTTAGAATGGTCTTTCAATTGATCTTGCAATGCTCTCGATCTGCGTGCTGATGCAGTTCTTCTTCCTCTGAAACCATCCTTTAAATCAGCAGGGTTGACCCTGTAGATTCTAGATTCTAGATTGTGCTATGATTGTGCTTTATCTGCCACTTGCAAAGACGAACCTTGTAGTGACCAATGGTGGGATACACGTCCACGTTCTCCTTATTGCAAAGGACCTGTGATGCTGTCGCTGCATATTCTTTGGGCAACTTAGTTGGATAGAGAATTCAGTGAAGCCTGAAAAAAGTTGTTTGTTCACAGTTCACAGCTTTCTTGGTCACTTAAGAATACACCTCCCTCCACTTCAACCTCACCCGACTTCAAACTACCGTTGAGCCCAGCCCAGCAAACTCTATTGTGCTTTCCACTTTGTGGAGTTGGTCAGTGTCTCCCGACCAAAATCACGCCTTGTCAGCAGCACAATCGACCATGGCGAAGCGCACCTTCGAGGTGAAATCCTGGAGCTGCAGAAAGAAGCTTCCAGACTGCTGAGAGAAACAAAGGACTCGGAGAACGTCCATGACTCAGGTCCTTCCTCTGAAAAGCTTGCACCGGAACCCAGGTCCTGCGTGTTCAACTGCTTTTCCCATCCTGATGCCAGCCTTGAGGCTTCAGGGGAATGAAACGGTGTCACGTTGAGAAGATTAACAAAATTGGTGCAAGACACTGCAGGACTTTCTTACCAAAAAAATGAGGACCACGCTTCTCCACGCAATGTCCCCAAAGGTTTCCAAGCAAAGGATGATGACTCGGCCCCCAGCATTGCAAAAATGACCTCCAACTCTTCGCATGGTTCCCACCATGAGGTGCAAAAGGACACCATCCATTGCTCAGAACCACCTGAGGCAAGATGTTTTCTCACTTGGCAACTGGGCTGAGATAGCACATGCTCAATCTTCTCACTGTGTTCAAACCATTCAGTTGAACATTCAGTTGAACTTCAGCTGGCAAAATGACAAAGTCGACCCTCAATGGACTCGCACTGTCCAGCCTCCGAGTGCTGTTCGTGCATTCCCGGCGAAAAGCAAACGGTTCAACACGGTCACACCGGGCCTGCCACTTCTCAACAATGTGCTTTCGCCAAACAACTTTGTTCTGATGTGAAGTTTGAATCATTTGACCTTGGATGCCTTTGAATATACGCGTCGAAAGATTCTTTCAAAGCTGCTCTACATAATTGAACCCATCTCAGTCCGTGAATGAGTTCGGATCTACACGCATGGACCATGGTCAAGCCATTTACATACTCACAGTCCACAGTCATGAAGATTTGTATCATTGTTGTAAAATCAGCGAAAGCTCTCCAGACTTAGCTTCAAATAGCAAGGCAAAGGACACTGTTCCGACATCTTCTAACAGCTCTTGGCTCCACAATCAGTTCCTTGTGGCAACTTCTGTAGTGACTGCCGGTGTCCAGGAGTGGATCTCAAGCACCTGAGGGCGCTCTACAAATGAGAGCGTAGTTCCTGCTAGTACTGCTATTCACAGAGGCAAGCACATCGAAAAAGGAGTGGGCCTACCCGGGTCATGATCATAAGTTAATCGCAAAGGCTCCTGCACACACTGATCTACAAAGGAGTTCAGTTCTGGAAAGCTTCAGGGGTTCTGAGAAATAAAGCAAGAGGACAGTAGAAGCCGCTTGCTTTTTTTTCAGTGTGGGCATAGTTGGCCCAATCTCCGGCCTCTTCTGCCCAAGCAGAAGCGAAGAAAATCAGAGCTGGAAATGGACGTGTCATGCTGGTGCGGGGGGTGTTCGCTGGGCAACGTGGAGGACGAAGAGGTCGTCTTCGAAGCTACAATCAAAACAGATCACCAACTTGAGCCAAGAAAGGCTGAGGACCAATTCATGACTTGGACACAAAACAGAGTCCCAAGCTTACATGGCACAGAAGTACCCTGCGGACCATTCTGCCCTCGAGGAAGGAGAAGGATGTAGCTGTTTGGGGAGAAATCATCCGCCTTGAACATGTCAATTGACCCAAGTTGACCCAAGGCTCCAAATCAACAGAAAGGCGCTGAATCTAATATAGACCACTCTAGGTGTACATGTATAGCTGGAACCTACCAGGCATTTCAAGACCACAGCATGCTGAAGCAGTGACATTTCACCGATGGGGTCGCACCACAAAGCAGAACGCCACGATCATCGCCTGGCCAGAGCTCCACAGCTGGATTCAACTGGGTGCATCACGTAGAAACAGGTGGCATCCGTAGAACAGAAATCTCTGCTTCTACGGCGAGGATGAACCATTGCCTCTTCCTGACATGCCTAGGAGATTCACTGCCAAGGGGGAGTAGTGTCTCAACAGTCACACAAAATGATAACACCATAAAAAATTATGCGGACTTTGTGTTGATGTCCTCATCGGGGCCGGGGGGTAGTTGTTGTATCTTGACCGGGAATCGAGCCACCAGAAAAGTGTATAGAGTGTTGATGTCAAATGCCCGTTGCGAAGCTAGGCAGGATGGCCAAAGATGTGGCCTTGGCGACAAGCACATCTTAAGTGGGCAGTCAGGTAGAATCGAAAATGGTCGTTTGGTTGGGTTGACAGAGTCCGGAACGACCAGAGCCTCCAAAAGTACAACAACCTACAGCAACCAAATGATCCTGGGCCATCCTGGGCCTGCAATGCCAGTCTTGGACATATTTGGACATTCTTAGACACCAATATGGGACCTCTGAGATTACAATTGGTTGACGATTAAAGAAAATGAACCCCTGATGACAGATGGATTACAAACTGTACGATTGACTTGCAGCCCAAGAAACCCATTTCAGAACGTGGCTCGCAAGCCAAGCTGCCGACTTCACACAAACCTCAGCATCTCATGAGGTGCACCGGTGTCACTGTTGAAACATGTTGAAACGGTGTCACTGTGTCATGAGGTGCACCACTGCCTCAGGGCGCGGACGCGGAAGCCTTCAACTTTGAGTCAACAAGTTCAAGTCAGTTAAGTTTAGAAACGTAACAATGCCGATAATAATGAAACTATTCTCCAAGATTGAGAATTATCCCGGCAAGAGACCCCAAGCAGTGTGTGTGAGGTCTAGAGGTGTAGCAACAGAAAGTCTAGAGATCTAGACCCATTGGGGTCCAAACAGGTGATGGTGGTGATGGTGATGGTGGTGATTGGTGGTCATGGTGGTGGGTGGCGATGGTGGTGATGGTGGTGGATAGGGGTCTTGCGAGAGTGAGGGTGAGAGTGAGAGTGAGAGTGTGAGAGAGAGAGAGTGTGAGTGAGTGAGTGAGTGAGTGAGTGAATGAGTGAGTGAGTGAGTGAGTGAGTGAGTGGGTGAGTGAGTGAGTGAGTGCGTGAGTGAGTGAGTAAGTGAGTGAGTGACTGACTGACTGACTGAGTGACTGACTGAGTGAGTGACTGACTGACTGAGTGAGTGAGTGTGTGTGTGTGACTGAGTGTGTGACTGAGTGTGTCAGAGTGAGTGAGAGTGACAAAGTGCTGCGCCTGCCAAAAAATTTGCAGGTTGAAGTTCACAAAGCGCTGCGCTTGCCACGAAATCCGCACTTGAAGATTCACATGCCGCAGCCCTGCCGAGGCGCTTCGCCGCAACGCTTCCAAAAACAACAGTCAGATGCCAAAACGCAGCTTTCGCGCGAGACTCCCCCAGATGTCTGAAAACGAGCCACATGTAGAAAAGTCACGATTCACTGCACCCGTCCCGAACTTAGAGCGCGTCGAAAGTCACCACCATATCCAAAGTGCTGCGCCGAATTCTGCGCTTCGAAGTAACACCGCTCCGACCCCTTGCACCTGTCAAAATCACGAGGTTTCCCTTGCGCCAGCCACGAAAAGTGACCACCGGACCATGTCCGAAAATGCGCACGGCACCACTGCGAGAGCGCAGTCGCGACAAGCATCCGCTGCTGCGGCCAACCAGATTTTGCGAGCCTGCGCAGTCGAAATGCACTTCGAGGATTTCGAGAGGCATGAATGTACTGTAAATAGCAACGAATTAGCCGGACACGCCCGCGCGACACCTCGATTAGACACCGGCCCTTCGCTACTACCGTAAGAACCCCTAGTGTGACCACACTGTTTAGGGGAAAAGATGGAAAAAGGATGAAAATGGAGTAAATTGAGTGTTCAGTACTGACTAGTTCAAAAAAGGAACTGACTACTCGTTGTATGTTCCGACCTTTTTCCTCTAGAAATCCTTCATGGAGATCGATGCTAACTCCAAACGCTCTGGGGTTGTGACAGCTACGTACGAGGCGGCATCCCAATTGGGCAGCCACTGAAGGACCTGAGCAAATATAGATCATGCCTGACGCATCCTGACGTTGTGATATGCTACTGTTGGATTGAAAAGTATGTGAGTCTGTCATCTTTATCTGGGAATTCCCTCCATGTCTGGACCTTTCCAATCTAGGCTGGATTGATTTGGCAAAGTCAATGTTGCGCTACTGACCGCGGCTGCTGCGTCTCTTTCCAGCAGGGTGGTATCCCTTTGACTATAGGACCAGCACGGTAGATAGCAACCAGTAAGTGCAGGTCATGGAACACTCAAGTGCAGCTAACATCAGGAGTGCATGAATGTAAGATCATGCCTAGAGCCTAGCAACATGTGATTATGTGATGACAAGATTTAGTTTAAGAAGTTGTTTCCTCTCATATGACAACCGTTTGAAAATGGTGCTGGACTCACACACGTGCGCTGCGGAGGTTGTGAGTCCATTCCGTATTTGAAAGCAGTTCCGAGGGACGGGATATGTATAGTTTTGTATAATCTTGAGATCTGTGAGTGCACAGGTTGATGTATCGCTGGTAGAAGGTCACTGTTTACAAATTGAAGCACCACGACTATCCAAGACCCCGACTAAGAACATAAATGTCGCGTTGAAGATGACCATGAAGAGATAGAACATCTGGCGAACAAGAGCACAGGAAAATCAAACAGTTAATGTAGGGTGGAACATCCATCCAAACAACACACAGTCACATGGAACTACTGCTGACTTAGCTCTTCTTCTGGCCAAAGGATCATCCCTGATATTCCCTGATCAGAAGCAAGTCTTTTGCTAAGAAGGTCATCGCCAGCACGAATCCATAAGTCCAACTCTTTCATCAAGGCGCTCAAATGATGTCGGCACAAGGCTAGAGATAAAAGGTTTAGCTGGATACCCAGTGCAAAGCCACTGCATGCTATTGCCGATATGCGCCGCACCGGCAGATGCTGTGATATCCTGCAGGCTACGAAGATAGCCATCATTCTTCCCAGCAGTTTAACTAGACTTACTCATCTCCACTGCCACAATTCAACTTGTACTACTCGTCTTCAAAAACATCACAAGGTAGAAGCAAGGAGGCTACTAGGAGCAAAGGGCTTCGCTACTAGGAGCAAGGACTCTACAAGGGGCTCCTGGCCGTACTACTAGTAACAAGAAGCTACTAGTAGCAAAGGGCATTGCTACATGGAAAGAGTCGGCATCCGGTCCGTGAGGCAAACTTCCGCGCATGCGGGGAGGACATCCCAGCGCAGAAGCACTGAGCACAAAACGGCATGAGAGTCAAGCAGCAAAACAAACAAAAAGTTGACGACATCAAAGGTCAAGAACTGTCCACAATGATCTGACAACTAATTTTGACCTACAACGTTTTGCCTGCTGCTGTAATCAACTCCTGGCCCGAACGTAAATGATGCTGCACTGTTTGAAACATTCTTTGTTGCAGCCAGTGTGCCGGTAGGCAAAAACACCATGCGCATGTCATAGTCGCAAAGATCAAGATCCACCTCGGCAGAATGTTGATGAAATAATGCAAGGAACAGACTGGAACAGTGGTCTGCAGGTCTGCAAAGGCATATATATATAGAGAGAGAGAGAGTTGACAACGTGACCCATGTGACAAAAATGGAAATAAGTCGTAAGCGAACTCAGCTCTGTTGGTAGTCTGAATAGTCAAACTACTCTGAGGGACACTGCAGCCAGTGCAAGTGCAACGCTCTGCTTGTTGAGGGGAGCCCACCACATGTCTTTTGAGCCACAAAGCTTGTCTGAGCGTTCAGGCCATCTTCCTGTCCCAGGTTCGTCATCTGAGGTGCAGAACCCTTGGTACTCCGGATCAAGATATTCTGTCCTGGCCACTTGGTCAGTGCGCATCTCAAAGAAACTGCATGCAAATACGGTTTGCTCTCACAAGAAGGACTTCAGCGGATAGACTCTAGACCAATTCGGGATGGTAAAACGACTTGCCAACCTCCCGGCATCAGCCCTGACAAGCAAAAAGGCTTCTATGTTCATCAAACCAATTGCCCGTACAGCAATGATTGTCCCACTCATGTAACAGACGAAAGGCAAACTACAGCACTCCCCTCCTGTATTCCAAGATTTGCACAGGCAACGGCTTAGCGGTGGTCATTGCCTCCACGCCTGTGCATGCTGGTCTTGTTTCGGGGTGGTTTCCAATGACTTAACTGCGTACCAGACTAGAGACCTGTGGTCATCCTACTCTTGGAGCCATAGGAGTCAGCCATGGAAAGCTTCGTTCTAGCCAATTAAGACATAGTCAAATCAAGGCCAGTCTGCTGTCAGCCTCGTACTGCAGCGTCAATCTTATGGGTCGAGTCTTCTAGCGCATCGAGCAAGTTACCTCTGAAGTATGGATGAAAGGATGAAAGTGGTTTGGTTTTCTTGGCATACCATAAGGAAAATAAATCAACATGCGTGTCAAGGTTTAAGAAAGTCTTTAATGGGCAAACAGCAAAAGAGCTTGAGCC